CCCTGCCGGCCTCGGCCCACGACCATAGTGGCCCACCGGGCATTTGCCCGGTATGCCCAATGGCCAGTCCGGGCCTGTCAATATGATACCTGTGATTTTAGAACCAACTAATAAAAATATTTTTTTTATTAGTTCAATAAAAACATGGCAACATTTCATTCTTTGTGTGTTATTAGTTTAAGCAGACGGTGATTGTCTATTTTGTGACTTAGATGATGATCAGATCACATTTTATGACCAATTTGTGGAGAAATCCTTATCATTCCAAAGGGTTCTCATACTTTTTCTTGCAACTGTATATCAATGTAGTTTACCCAAATTATCTTTCAATTTTTTCGAGTTAAAGAGAGATATATAATGTATCCCTTATTTACTCTCTTAATTACATACTTCAACCACCCAGTCTCATAATTAATAACTTTCAAATATAAATCTTCTCAGTCATAGATCAGGTAGCCTACCACCATGTATTCACCTTATCACATGAGCACTCTCTGACACATGCACTCATTACACAATCAGGGTAACGCACTGTGAACCTAACAAGTGTGAACTGTTAAGAATTCCTAGTGATTTTAAATTTTAGCCCATATTTGCCAGATTGGAAAACTTGGCTGACCAGTTAGTTAAATGTTTCCAACTCAACCACTGTAGCCTAAAATTTAATTTCACATTTACTTGGAATTCTCAGCAATTCGCATAAACCTGAGAGGCTCCCGTGCACCAAGCGGACCCCAGGTAAGTGGCTTGCAGAGGCAACTCTAGGTGACACATAAGATCCCACAAGCAAAGCTAGGTGGGGCAGGTTACAAACCTTTATTGGCTGTCTAGCTCCAGCAAGCTGTGTGTGGTGGTGTCAGACACCAAATTTGCACAGAATAAGCCACCCAGAATTCTTGTTCGGAGCTGGCTAATGACACCCTTTAATTTTGATCTTTCACTTGTTTGTTTGTTAACTTTCACCTGTTTGATTTGATATTGATTGCCATACTTAATGGAGCTATCTGCTAAACAGTGCCCTAATTTGGTATCCTGAAAGATCAAAATTAAAGGGTTACTCCATCCACCAAAACCACTTAAGGGATGCAGTGTACATCTAGACCTATTTTTAATTGTCTGCTGGGGGCTAGTTACACTCCCAGCACACATGACTTAGGCAGACCAGAACTCTGTTCTAGACTGCCTAATGTCAATTCTGTACATATTTTACGTCAATTGTCAGAGCACAGTGCACACTTTCGACAGATGTAAAAATCTTTCCCTCTGATGACAGCAAGAGTGAAGGAGGATTAAAATGTATATTTTTAATACTTTTTTTTATCATGCCCCACAAACATCTACAGCCCCTAACCCCATACTCTACAGTTCTTGTCCCTCACTTCATTATAGCTGACCAGGCACCCCATACACCTCTACACTAAAGACCCTGCCCACTCCCTACACTTCAGGCCTTATCCCCTTCTAAACTACTCTCCTCGGGCCACGCGGGCAGAGAACACCGCGTGGCCGCACTGCTGTTGTCTTCAAGTTGCGAGGCCAGAACACTCCGCTCGCGGCCTGAATGGTATGCTCGCCTTCGGTCCTGCAAACGATTCCCTCTGCTGGTTCGTGGGCTGAACTGCAGCTCCTTAAAAAAAATTATTCCCATGCTCTGAAAGAGACTGCGTCATCTAGGCGACCCATGCTGTTTGTGGTCCCAGAGATTACATGGATCAATGGGAACTCTTCTGGACCTTTTTAAGGCCTGTTCTAACTTTTACTCATTGCCCTATCAAGGTTTCTGTCCTGATACATGTTAGTGCTATATATAAGTCTCTCTTGTTGTATTCCTGTTATTGACCTCGGCTTTGCATTTTGACTTGTGATTTCTCGTATCCTAACCTCGGCTTTGCATTTTGACTTGTGATTTCTCGTATCCTGAATCGGCTTCGTATATTCTCTGTGTATTTCTGTATTCCTGACCTTGGCTTACCTTGACCTTGTTTCTTGCTGTTTTAATAAATTAAATCTGGCCATTGTAAGGCTCGGTAATACGTCTTTTGGATACACTCTTGTGGGTTATGACTTTCCTGTTTGTTGGGGTAAGACTCCCATGACATTATCTCACTCTACACTACATCCTTTACCCTCTACAGCCCTAACCCCCTTGCACTATAGCCCTATAAACTATCATTTACTGCGGTGAACAAAAGCTAAACTGTCACTTGCTTTTCCACTTTAAAACAACATACTGTCGCAGTCAGTGATACAACGAGATGTTGTTTTATCTGGAAACTGCTACTATAAGTGGTCACCTGTTCTGCACCTGCATCTTTCCCAAGAACACCCTTATCATCATCACATTAGCGTTTTATTTATTTAATGGTTACACAGTTAATTGGTATTTGCTACAAGAGTCAAATCAATCACTGACATTAAAATGATTCCAAAAAGGAAATAAGATAATATGGCATATATAAGGTTCCCAGACCAACTTATTCAATAACAACGGGCATAACATATATTCTCGAAGGAGATACAATGAGAACATTAATATTCTGTCTGCTTCTTATCGCAGTCCTGGCTACTGGTAATAATCATCTCTGTTAAAAATACTATGGGATTCTAAAAGGAGTTAAGGGAGCATATACGATGCATTTCATTACAAGCAAAATGTTATGTATTTTTATTTATATGTAAAGTATTCGTGTATATTGACTGTTACAATATAGGGTGTGTTCACTTTTATTATTTTGAATAGCACTGCTGGGTTTATTCTCTAAAGTGTGTACTTTCAGGAATTCAACGTGAATGTAACATTTTTGGACAAAATAGCCAACTGAAAACATTGCTGACTTAATGAAGTTTGTTTGGGTTTTATTGCCTAAAATTTTAAATTTATAATTTATTATTATTATTATTTTATTATTTATATAGCGCCATCAGATTCCGTAGCGCTGTGCAATGGGTGGCCTTACAGACATGTAATTGTAACCAGACAACTGGATGTACAAGAACAGAGGGGTTGAGAGCCCTGCTCAATGAGCTTACATGCTAGAGAGAGTGGGGTATAGTGACACAAAGGGTAAAAGTAAGTGTACAAAGTAGGTTGTTAGAAAATTATTCACTGAGGGCTTAGTAGGTAATTTTTTAAGGTTACAGGAGAGGAGTCATGGGCCTGCTAACAGTTTAAATGAAAGGCTTTCTTGAAAAAGTGAGTTTTCAATGATTTTTTGAATGAGTGGAGACTGGGTGAAAGTCTTATGGAGTCTTACGTAGGTCTTTGGCAGAGCGTAGGGGCCTCGACGGGACATACTTGTGTATTAGGGATAATGGGTAGGTTGGAGAAGCATTATGTAGGGACTTGTAAGCAAGCATCAGAATCTTAAATTGAGCCCTATATTTAACTGGAAGCCAATGCAGGGACTGACAGATCGGGGAGGTGTGGGAGGTGCGAGTGGACAGGAAAATGAGCCTCACCGCCGTATTCATTATAGATTGCAGCGGTGCAATCTGGGAAGACGTAAGACCACTGAGAAGGGATTGCAGTAGTCAAGGCGAGAAAGAACAACAGCGTGGACCAGAACCTTAGCTGCATCCAGGGTTAAATAGGGGCGGATGCGCGCTATGTTTTTTGAGATGGAAGCGACAGGATTTGGCGATAGATTGGACATGAGGGGTGAAGGAGAGGTTAGAGTCAAAAATAACACTCAACATCATTCAACCTTTAGTGAATAACCTTCAACAAATGTTCTATTACATTGTAAACAGACTGACTTTAAAGATAAAACATCCTAAAAACCGCTTTTGGGAGCTAGATCACTGACCTCTGAAATTGCAGAGGTAAGCATTATAGTATTGAAGAACAGATCATGTAGGTGACGTGGGTTCTGTCTCTTGAATTGACAAGGTTATTCACTAAAAGTGAGAATTGCTGAGAATTCAAAGTACATCTATGCCAAAATAGTAAGATTATAACATTTCCATTAGTCAGTTCTTTTTTGGGCTATTTTGCCCTTGTGGTGGGAATCCAGTCTCCTGTACTGCAAGCAAAGGTTAATCTCTTTTTGGGTTTATCTTTTTATTTATTTATTTTAATATTATTAAATTCATATTAATAAAACCAGAAATCAGTACCTGCTAAATATGCAGAATTTATCTACCGGTAATTATCCGCATTGAGGATGGTCTTAGATATAAAAATCCCCAATTTACGTCACAAAGTAGATATAAAAATTAACTAAAATCAGCTGGAACCAGGCCAACAATTATTATCTGACTCTTGCCACATATTGTGATTCAGCATAGCATATGTGACAGGCCAAACTTCTTGAAATGGGGTTTATTGTTAGCAAAATGGAGTTTGCAAATTGTAGCACAACTGCAAAGAAATACTAGAACATTTGAAATGTATTATTACAGCTCTAATTTTTAAATTTGCTTTGAATTCTTGGCAAATCGCACTTCAGCAAATACTCCTGTTAGATTCTTCTCCTTTGTAAACTCTAGTTTACTCTAGAAGTGTGGTTATTCTATAAATTGGGTACTCTGGGGGACTGATGATGGAAATGTAAATTTCAGCACAAAATATTAGTTTGGAAATTGCAAATGTAGCAAGACCGGAATGAGTTTTTTAAATAAACTGTGAATTGTGATGAATTCATTGTCAGATATACAAATTGCTGGCTGCGAGGGCTGGGCTGCCAAACCGACTGGCAGCCATGAGCTTTAGCTCTGGACCCGAGCATGTAAAAGTGGGTGCAGACCATTCCAAAGATGACTTCTCTGCAGACTCGGAGAAGAGCATAACCCCAGCTACAGAATGATACCCGCAAGTCACCAATGCACGCCGGCTGAGCAGGTGCTGACATCCCCGACCTACTCACGGCTGGGAGCCTGGACGCATGCAGCATTTGAGTGGGGCCGGTGGCATGAGAGAGCCTTATAGTGGGTACCCCAAGTGAGAGACTGACACTGCAGGAGCAGTGCTTTTTCGGCAATGCAGCCCAATTCCCCCTCCAATGGCTGGCGGGGGTTATCCCTGCCTCATGGTGATGGCCCTCATGGCAACGGGAGACCTGCGCTGGTCCCAAGCCGATCACCTGCACTGGCAAAGGCTTCCCGAAGAACAGCCTGCCAGAAGATATGAACAGACAGACATAAATGCTGGCACGGAAGAGACTACTCGTCTCCATGCAGCTCAGAGGACCCAGACAGCTGCTGACCTGCAGATGGATCCCCCGGGCGGCCTACCCCCTGGAGAAGTAAAGGACCCTGCATCTGGGTTTGTAGGGGGCCCACAGAAGATTGTCCCTGGCGCTGTGAGTCGTGTAGGACTGAGGAACACAGACCCTCCGGTACCCCAGTTTTAAGTGTGAGGCCAGCACTGGGTTAGATCATAAAAAAGCCACAACATTGACAGTAAAGTTAAGTGTATAAAGCCAAAAAGATTGAGATAGTGACTGTGGAATACACATAAATGTTGATAACAAGACACGTCAATGAAAAGTTACGTACATTTCATAAATCATGAAAAGAAGAGTTGGCGTAGAAAGAACATAACATACATAGACGAATGCCAAGGACATCATGAAATTCCTGAATGAGGACATTAAAACAATGATTCTAGTGTACACAAGTCCAGGATGTTTGGTGAGAAAATCAGTATAGAAATTAGATATCTGATGCCCATGTGTCCGTGCTCCCAGAAATCGTAAACCGTCTCCTGAGCCTGAAGGAGAAGGAGGCTCTGTTAAGATAAATGGTAATGGACAGACGTGGCTGCCAACAGCAGATGGCCTTAAGATTTCTACAATGACAAACACATCTTTTATAGCTCATCCTTCTACTGTATCTCCTCATTCCAACCATACAACATCACCTGAGGCTGCTCAGAATGGCTAATCTTCAATGGCTGCTCTCATATTGGTGGCTGACAATGCTGGTAGTAGTCATGGATTGAAAGAAGGTAACCAGGTTCACTCTACAACAAGGAGAAACAGTACCAGCCCTCCATCACCTTCCTCTATGGACCAGAGAAGAATATCTCCCAGGGAAGTGCAAAGTCAGCTTCCAAATGGAGGCCTATCATCCCATTCAGGAATGGAACAAATACATCCTCAAAGCATTCCTGACTCCTCTATAACAAACAGTGTACCTCTATGTTGCACTCTTTGTCATAAGCATCTTGAGGACACACATTTTCTACAGTGTCCTTCTGTACCTTCTCATAAGTTTTGTTTTCCTTGTTCAAGGCAAAGTATTAAACAACAAGGTTCAGCAGGAGAAGTGTATTGTCCAAGTGGGGAAAAATGCCCTCTGGTGGGATCAAATGTACCTTGGGCTTTCATGCAAGGAGAAATTGCCACTATTCTTGCTGGAAATGTAAAAGTGAAAAAAGAGTCTCTTGACTAGAAAAAAAGCTTTTTTTTGTCACCATGATCTGTAACTAAAATGTGTATATGCGTGCGTGTGTATGTGTGTGTGTGTATATATCCATATGTATATAATGTCTTTCTTTCTACATATATACATACCTGAAGGGAAACTTACACTGCATAAACATGGCTGTATAATTTTTCATCTTTTAATATATTGTTTCTATTTCTGAAAACTAAGATATGTACTTACTGATCAGGAAGGTATTCCATATTTTTTTTTAATGTTTTGCAAGTATTTGTTCTTATCCAGTGAAAGTTCTGTGTAGGCTGCGATTTGAGATGCTTTTTAGAGCACTTGGTAAAACAGAAATGCTTTTAGCTGTATTTGTATGAACTTGTTAAAAATGCCAAATACATTTTTATGACCTTGAAAAAAAAAAAAAAAGGAAATCAGATATCTGAATGGCCTAACCCTGATATTCAAGGACAAGGAGATTGAAATTTAAAAAGGTCAATGAGCCACAATGATTGATGATAATATCTTCATCATGTTTTTTTTCTTAAGGGCAGAAAACAAAAACCTGGGTAACTCTTAACTTGTTTTTTTTTAACATTCCTTTGCATTGCGCTGTGATTCATAATTGTGTGAAGATTAAATTTAACTAAGGTGCTTTAGATTGACTAATTTCTGGGTTTCTTAGCTTTGTTATATAATTATTCAGTATTTGGTATCCTGATCCTGATCCTGTTTTCATCTCCTTGATGTAATACCAATCTAACCTTTTTGGGGTTGCCCTCATAGTTACTCTGGCAGTAGGTGGATTGGGTTAAAAAGACGTGTTGGATCGGATGTGTTTATTTAAATAGGTAAAAAGTAAATGTCATGTAAATTATGTCATGGTATTGGTAACATAATTCAATTATGTTAATCTATTTATCATTCATTATACAATAGTCCAGGCACAAAGAAGCTTTGTAACAGCGTTTCTGGACAATGTCGATAGGACAGCATCTACATTTCAACTTTATCTTGTGACATATGACAAGCCAGCTATAGCTTCTGTATCTGTACTGAACCCAAGTTTCCAGAAGACAGTGTTTATTGAAAGGGACAGCAGCTCTCTGGTGACCCTCGATTATCAGTACATGATTTATGAGAAGCAAGTATCTTCCAAAGCAGTGTTGGTGACATCGGACGAAGATATCTCGGTTTTTGGGTTTTATATATCATCTGGCACTGCTGATGCCATGACCTGCCTTCCAGAAGAGGACTTCGGAACAGAATATTATATATTTACCTCTGGAGCAGGGCACGCCAATCAATTTGCCATTGCTAATGGAAGATATGAGAATGTTATTGTGGAGATCACTGTCTCTGGATCTCTACAGTATAATGGGTTGTATTATGGAAACTCTGACACTTTCTCAGTTGTTCTCAACTACCAACAAGTCATTCAGTTCCAAAGTTCCACAGATCTAACAGGCACCAGAATTGTATCTTCCGTACCAGTTGCGGTTATTAGTGGCAACAGGTGCTTCACTGGAATTAATTCGCTCTGCGATGTTCTAGTTGAACAACTATACCCTGTAGAAAACTGGGGTCGTTTTTTTGCTGTATTCCCTTTGTTGGATCACACTCGAGATATCATCGATATAATTGCAGCAAGTCCAAATACCACAGTGACCATTAAGGACCCTCGGAAAACCACCCAGTATAATCTACAGCAAGGGTCCCATGTTCGACTAAAATTGGCAGACAGAATCATTGTGAATTCTTCTGAACCCATAATGATTTCCTATCTCTTACAAGAAACCATACCTGGACTGGTCACAGACTATGACCCATTTTTTGTAACCGTTCCGCCACTCTTTTTAACTAGGAAATACTATAAATTTGTTACACAGGATAAATTTTACAACTTCCTCTTGATTGTATCCCAGGCACCTTCCTTGTCTGACTTCTACCTTGATCACGAACCATTGAACTTTCAGAATGTCTCGATGACAGAGTTACATGGAATTAAAGGCTGGGAAGTCTCACTGGGTAAATTAAGTGGACAACATGAAATTTACCATGAGTCACTAGAATTTGTGATTTACGTTTATGGAATTGAAACCTACATTTCTTATGGATATACAGTTGGCCAAGAATCAAGATATCCAGGTAATTAAACTTTTGCTTTAACTGGGAAATAGGCGAACTGAAAAACTATCTGTCATCTGTATGTGTTCTCAATGCTAGTAATCTTTAAAGGGGGACTGTCACTTCTATGCAATTTATACCATTGAATAAAACTTTGAAAATCGCCTATAACTTATGTTGACCTTTTTTTCATGAGATGCTCCATTTTCTTTTAAGTTTGTATTAAAATGTTATCAAATGACATCTCAATCCAGTGCAGACAAGGCGAAGTCAGGACAAATTTTGCAAATGCAATGTTTGTTACATCTCTCCTTGCCTCTGTATACTGCCTCTGTTCTGACTGCAGGGTGGAAAGATGAAGCTGACAAGTTGCAGGGTAAAGAAGTGTGGATTTCAATATTTCATGTTATTTTTCACACCTCACAAATATATATTTCTTAAATAAAATAAAATTCAGGAAAGTGCCAGTTCCCCTTTAAAGTGACATTAAAATGTGTAGAAAACTAGACACCAAAAACTAGTATGTGTATTACAATCCAAACAATAAAACCTCTACAGCAAGGGTGCACAAAAGGTAGTTCCGCAGAAGTTTTAAAACTATAGTATCCATGATGCTTTGTCATTCTACAGGCCTTCTAAATGCCTACAAAGCATCATAGGAGTTGTAGTTCTAAAACATCTGGGGATCTACCTTCTGAGCACCCCTGCTCTATAGCTTCTTATCTACCAAATTTTAGCCCTTCGAAAACAACAAATCTATATCACATTCTGGCCATGTGTTTATTTGTTTTGTTTATTTTCCCCCCATTTCATAATGTGTGTAATTTCTAGATAATTTTAGTGTAACAAAGTGATTACTTACTTTATCAGGGCTTCATTCTCAAGGCTAGGCTCAGCGAAAATGCTTAAAGGGACACTATAGGCACCCAGACCACTTCAGCCCAATGAAGTGATCTGGGTGCCCTGTCCCTCTAGGGTTAACACTGCCTGCTGTAAACATAGCAGCTTCAGAGAAACTGCTATGCTTACATTTGGGGTTAAGCCTGCCTCTAGTGGCTGTCTTCCGGACAGCCACTAGAGACACATCTGCAATGCTGGAGGCATATTATGCCTCCATCACGCAGAGCATTCTATGGACACTTTGAATGTGCGCGTTGGCGGGGGAGGAGAGGTAAGGGAGCCCGGCGGTGGACTAAGGTGAATAACAGAAGGGGTTTTAACACCCCTTCAGCACCATGGGAGGGGGATCTTTTGGGTGGGGGCACCCTCAGGGTACTATAGTGTCAGGAAAACCGATTTGTTCTTACAGCTATGTAACTTAACTGTTTTTTTTATGCAATGTGCAGCATTGACAGCAGCAATCATACAAAATAGCCTGTAGCAGAGAATTAAACCTTGTTCTCTTGAGCTATTACACAAAAGTTGCCATTCATCTTTGCAGAAAAGTATTTTCCTTCCAGAAAATGTCTGGCAATTAAGTTCATAAATAGTTTATTCACTAGTATGCTAGCCAGACACCTTAAAGGATCCACACGCGCAGTGTGTTTTTTTAAAACGCTTTGTATGGGCAGAAAAGACAGGTTCATTTCATGCTGAATGACACACTCACAAAGTGTATATTGGGAAGTGCTCTTATTGGGGACTTTTTTTGATCTCCCCTGAAGTAAGACACCATAAAACAAACCTAGAAAGGCAGGACAAGGTACCAAAAGTTTAACTTTCCTACCAAATCCAGAAAAGTTGGGGGTATGAAGCCTATAGGTTTTCTGCTGCAGTAATCTAGAAAAAATGTTTCACATATAACTAGTGTTGGCTTAATATAAAGTTGTTTTTTTAAATGGGAGAGTTGAAGGCCAAACGACTAAAAGTGTATGTGAAAAAATATTTTACAGGAAACATTGTAGATACATGGAATAGCCTTCCAGTAGATATAGCATAACCTAAAATATTAAAGGACCACTATAGTGCCAGGAAAACATACTCGTTTTCCTGGCACTATAGGGTCTCTAGGTCCCCCCCACCCTCTGGGCCCCCCTCCCGCCGGGCTCTAGGGGGTGGAAGGGGTTAAATCTTAGCTGTTTTCCTCCGCCGGGCTCCCTCGGCACCGGGAACTCTCCTCCTCCTTTTCGCCATCATCGGCAGAATGCGCATGTGCGGCAAGAGCCGCGCGCACATTTAGCCAGTCCATAGGAAAGCATTCTCAATGCTTTCCTATGGACGCTGGCATCTTCTCACTGGGAAAATCACAGTGAGAAGCGCGGAAGCGCCTCTAGTGGCTGGCAATGAGACAGCCACTAGAGGCTGAATTAACCCATTTGTAAATATTGCAGTTTCTCTGTTTACAGCAGGCAGGGTTAAACCTAGATGGACCTGGCACCCAGACCACTTCACTAAGCTGAAGTGGTCTGGGTGCCTATAGTGGTCCTTTAAAGGTATTGAAGGGCTTATAGAATGTACATCAGGCTATAAATTAAAATGTTATCTCTTAGCACAATGTATAAATACTCCAAGCCAGACAAGAAATTAATTATCCAAAAAATCTTTCTTAAGAAAAAAAAACTTTAGACCTCACCTAAATAAATATTTTTTTTATGAGTTGTTACTCAGTGCCTTTGGATATAATGAACCAATACAAATGTATACTGGGCCGACACAAAGTGCTCTGTGATCACCTGTTCATTAAAGGGACACTATAGTCACCAAAACAACTTTAGCTTAATGAAGCAGTTTTGGTGTATAGAACATGCCCCTGCAGTCTCAATGCTCAATTCTCTGCCATTTAGGAGTAAAATCACTTTGTTTATGAACCCTAGTCACAACTCCCTGCATGTGACCTGCACAGCCTTCCATTAACACTTCCTGTAAAGAGTCATCTAATGTTTATCCTTCCTTTATTGCAAGTTCTATTTAATTTAGATTTCCTTTTTTCCTGCTATATTAATAGCTTGCTAGACCCTGCAAGAGCCTCCTGTATTTTTTTTAATTATTATTATTATTATTTCCATTTATATAGCGCCAACAGATTCCGTAGCGCTTTACAATATTATGAGAGGGGGATTTAACTATAAATAGGACAATTACAAAAAACTTACGGGAACAATAGGTTGAAGAGCACCCTGCTCAATCCAGCTTACATTCTATAGGAGGTGGGGTGTAAAACACATTAGGACAGGAATTTGCAGTCAAACAAGGTGGGCTGCCCTTTAGGAGAGAGCAAGAGACAGGTATGTGAGGTAGAGGTTAGTCTTGGAGGCCATAAGCTTTCCTAAAGATATTTCTTAAAAGATGCAAGACTAGGGGAGAGTCTGATGGCGGTAGGCAGGCTATTCCATAGGAAGGGAGCCGCCCGCGAGAAGTCTTGCAAGCGTGAGTTGGCAGTACGGGTGCGGACAACGGACAGGAGGTGGTCACAGGCAGAGAGGAGAGACAGAGAAGGGACATACCTAGAGATCTGTGAGGAGATATAAGAGGGGCTAAAGTTGTTCAGTGCTTTATAGGTGTGAATTAGTACCTTGAATTGACTCCTGTAGCATACAGGAAGCCAATGTAAGGAGTGGCAGAGGGGAGAGGTGTGAGAGAACCGACTAGAGAGGAAAATCAGTCTGGCAGCAGCGTTCATTATGGACTGTAGCGGTGCACTACGGCTTTTGGGAAGACCAATCAGGAGATGGTTACAATATTCCATGCGGGAAATTACTAGAGCATGGACTAGCTCCTTGGTAGTATCTAGTGCAAGTAAGGGGAGGATGTGGGCTATGTTTTTAAGATGGAATCTACAGGATTTGGCAACATGCTGGATGTGAGGCTCAAAGGTGAGGCCAGAATCAAGTATGACGCCAAGACAGCGCGCTTGCAAGGATGGACTGATGTGGGTACCACTAACTTGAAGGGAGAGCGAAAGAGGAGGATCAGTATTAGGAGAAGGAAAGACAAGGAGCTCAGTTTTAGAAAGATTGAGTTTCAGAAAGTGGGAGGACATCCAGTCAGAGATGGAAGAAAGGCAAGCAGTGACACGTTGCAGGACGGCAGGGGAGAGGTCTGGGGAGGAGAGATATAACTTGGTGTTATCAGCGTACAGGTGGTAGTGGAATCCAAAAGAGGTAATAAGTTTGCCAAGAGAGGCAGTATAGAGAGAAAATAGAAGGGGATCAAGGAAAGAGCCTTGGGGGACTGCAACCGAGACATGATGAGAGGAGGAGGTATCATTAGAAAAAGAGACACTGAATGAGCGTTGGGAGAGATAAGAGGAAAACCACGAGAGGACAGAGTCACAGACACCAACTGATTGAAGAGTTCCTGTGATTAAAATTCAATTTACAGGGAAAGAGATACAATTGTTTAAGGTAAATTACATCTGATTGAAAGTTAAACCAGTTTTTTTCATGCAGGCTCTGTCAATCAGAGCCAGGGGAGGTGCGGCAATGGTTGCATAAACAGAAACAAAGTAATTTAACTCCTGAATGGCAGTGAATTGAGCAGTAAAACCTGAGAGGCTTGATCTATACCCTAAAACAGCTTCATTAAGCTAAAGTTGTTTAGGTGACTATAGTGTTCCTTTAACAGAAGTGTACAAGGTCATCCTTTGAGACATGCATAATACAGTTTTGTTGGCTTAAGAATTCACTTCCTCTTTTGAAGTCAGTTTATCACCTGAGCAAAGTAAAAATTTTGATAATGTTTGTTTTGATCTACTTTACATAATTACATATTAATACAGGTTGATAAAAAGATTTGGGTTCATCTAGTTAAACCTTCTACAAGTTTCTGTTGCTTTTCCAAAAAAGCAAAAAATAACCGTTTTCCAATTTTGTCACATAATAATTTTTCCTGGCTCCAAAATGGCAATCAGATTCATTCTTAGATCAACAAAATGTTACCCCATGAACAGCAGTACTAATTCAGTTTAGCTTACTGTATTATTATTTCACCAATGTTACCAATATTGCAAATTATTTGACACAAATCTTTGTTATCCATTTCACCTTTAAGTGCCCCAAAAAATTTGATGTTTTTTTTTCTGTCATCTAACCTTATTATGATCAGATCCGCCTTCACCACAACCAACCAAAGAGCCAGGAGATTCGGAAGCCCTTACATGTCTCTCTGATGGAGCTGTGTATCAGTTACATATGGGTTTGCTAGTTGATGCCGACCTTTCTGTTGATGACATTCACCTTGAAGATCCTTCATGTAAGGCTGAAAAGGATGGAAGCTTTGCTGTCATTAAAATACCGTTTAACAGATGTGGATCAAGAGTTCTAGTAAGATTTGATTTATTAAAAATGACCTTTTATTTTAAACATATTCATTACTTTAGAAATCTTCACATATTTACGAAAATACACTGCTAACATTTTCTTTCAATTACACAGTTTAATAAATGAATTAATAAATACATATTAAACTATTACACTATATCCAGTAGTTACTAATAATATACTACCTATTTAGAACATTGAGAGTATTGAGAGACTGTATTTTCTTTGCTGATGTCTACAGGAGACCTTATGTTATCATTGAGTTTTTAAAATAAAATTATGATTGTAATGTCAATTGCTTTATCTTTAATAAACATTAAAACGAAAATTAAGCATTACATGACAAGGGGGCTAAACTAATGATATGTGTTTTTCATTGTTTTATTAAGTGGTGTAAGTTCTATGAACATTATATAGTACTTATGAAAAAATACTGTATCTGACTTCTCCCTGCACACATAAGAGGCTGTCTCTCCTTCCCTGTCCCTCTGTGTCTCACCTTGTCTCTGTGTGCCTCTCTTCCTCATTCCCTCCCTATCTCTCTCCTCTGCCTCTTCTTCTTTCTGTTTGTATCTATCTCTCTCCCTCCCTCTCTGGCTCTCCTTCTTGAGGTCTCTCTGGCGTTCCTTCATTCTGTATTTCTCTGTCTCTCTCAGACAACAGCACACACAATCACACTTGGCCAGCCACACAGAATCACATACATGCAACTACATGCATATTACACTTAGCCCCCGCATAATCACACAAAGCCACCACATGCATTTCACATAGGTGTATTGCTTTGAGATAAGCTACAAAGAGGAGCGTGGAGGAGCAACAAGGGAATATCTCTTTAATTCTTTCTTCAGAGATTCCCAGTTATGCCCCTAATATATAGCTTAATTGTATAAAATTATTGACACATTTTGTTATTAGCTGTGTAAAGAAGCAATTTGATTGATTTACCATTCCTCCACCCCAACACCTTTCTTCTGGATTCAATCTTTTTTAAGAAGACCAATGTCCTTATCTCCTATCGGTGAATTTGGGCAAGTACTAATAACCAAAGAATAAGTATCCAGTACAATATAATGATGTCACCTATAAATGAATATTTATATGAAATTACCAACAATGACCACTTACAGCTGCACTAGCATAATAACACATTAGTATGGTCAATAAATCTGCCAATCGCATGTTAAACTATGCAGTCATTTCTGACACAATTGTTACTTAGGCATTATCATGCCTAGGTTAGAAACAAGACAGAATTATTTTCTCTGCAATAATAATTATGGAAAAAATAAAAACCCGATAGGTCAAAAACAAAAACAAGAGCATAGAACAAAACAAAAAGTCATTAGAATCGTCCTGTAGAAAGGAGAAATAATATAATTTATAATAGGTTAATTTATGTATAGTAAGTATTTAGTATTGCAGAGTTTAGTATGGCTGTAGTAATTATTTCTAATAATTATTGGTTATATATGTTTTTCTATTTAAAGCACGTGTGTAACTGCAAATGCTTATTGCTTTTATTTCTACAGAATGAAGATGGGAAAACATTATATGTAAATACCGTCTATGGAACAATCCCAGATACCAGCATCCATCGTATCGAAGTCCCTGTCATATGTGGAATGGAGACCAATGAAACACTGGAATTTAGCTTCCATCCTAAAGTCACTGATGTGGTTGCTGAAGGTCATTACAATATTTCATTGAAACTTTACCAAAGTGAGGAATTTGATGATCCAATTTTATCATATCCCTATGAGATTGAACTAAATGGCAAACTCTATGTGGGGTTTAAGGTGGAATCGGATGATGAGGACCTACAAATATTGGTAGAAGACTGCAGATCTGCTCCATCACTGGAGAACAATGCACAAAACTATCATCTCATTCGACATGGGTAATACATAAAGTGACCTGAGTTTCTCATTGTACAGCTTTTTTGAAAACATTTGTAAGGTTATTACTCACATTTTAACAGAAGCAAACAACATTCTGTACGGTGCAATTGTATGAAATTGGCAGTTCACATTGACACGCAACAATGTCACAGAAATCAGATATACTTTTTATTATAAATAGACTGTCCCATTCGCTAAATCATAGCCATCCTTAAAATCCACTAAACTTTTCTAATAACCCCAGCTGACTGACCATAACTATCCCATCTGTCATATACCTTGAAATAAAGTATATGATTTTATGCGATCGTATCTTTCCCATGAGGTATTATCATAGAACTGCGTGCCTCTGGCTCCTGACGTAAATGCTTTTTACGTCAGTAAGTTTGATCTATTGTGCAATAGACAATATTAGTTACCATATTACTGCCTTTATTCTAGTCTGAGACGTGGACATTTTTGGTGGCAAGACTTTCATCAAGTCATGCCACCTGACAAATGATCTGTTTAATAACTGCAGTTGCCTCTTGAATCACACATGACCAATTTATTTGGACAGTGACATACTACACTATATATTTTCCTTTTTTTTTTATTCTCCCTGCTTTTATATATGTATATATATATATATATATATATATATATATTTTAAAATCTTTATTTTTGACTCAGGTCATGGTCTCAGCATAAAAAGTCAAATGGTACAGAAGAGATAATAAAGAAAGGCAACATATGCATATCATCAAACGTTTGCAATATTGTATAACAGATATGTGGATTTGCTTATAGTGGCCATGGGCCATGAGTAGTGATGTCCCGAATGGTTCGCCGAACGGTTTGCCACGTATGGCGAACATATGCGCTGTTCGGTCCGCCCCCTATTCATTGAGTAAACTTTGACCCTGTACCTCACAGTCAGCAGACACATTCCAGCCAATCAGCAGCAGACCCTCCCTCATAGACCCTCCCACCTCCTGGACAGCATCTATTTTACATTCATTGTGAAGCTGTATTCTTAGTAAACTGTTCAGGAGGTGAGAGGGTCTGGGAGGGAGGGTCTGCTGCTGATTGGCTGGAATGTGTCTGCTGACTGTGAGGTACAGGGTCAAAGTTTATGTTTATGTTCGCCGCCCGCGGCGAACCATTCGGGACATCACTAGCCATGAGCTGAGGGAATTTTATTTTGGGTAGTAGTAGTCAGCGTTAATTCAGAAGCCTGGTGTGCCTGGAGCTATGGTCTTATAGCCGGTGGGTCCGGCTTCGCTATAGGCTTTTAGGCTAATTGAGCTACTAACATATTGGTGTTGATATGGTCCTGTTACCAAGCTAGGGTAGCAAGGGAACATGATGTCTAGTGTGTGGGCTGTTAAATAGCATGCTCCCGTTTTGAAGTAAACCCCATTACCCCAGGGAGAGGGGGGGGAGGGGCATTCTAACTACTTGCAAACAAGGATAGTGGAGAAAGAAGAGTCCCGGTTGCCAGAAACGGCTTGCCCGTGGAACCAGAGGGCTGTTGAGGGGTAAGCCTCACGTGGCTTTGCGACCCGAAGCACCACCCCTGGTGCCGGTCGTTGTAGATGTTCCCACTCCAGTCCGTCAATGGGGCGAACGGTGTTGCTGTCAGTGGGTCACTCGTTGTTGGCTGTGCCTCTGGGTAGGTTAGTCCCTCGATGGATAGGGTGTCCTGTTGTAGCCCCAGGAGATCTCTGGCCCCTTGCATGTCGTGGACCTTATGTGAAGTGTCTCCATGGTGGATCAAAAGGTAGGTGATTTTATGTAGGCGAAGGAGAGCCGTGAAGGGTTTCATTGTGTGGCGCCAGGCTAGAGTCGGCCCTGATAGATACACATAGAATGAGAGCTGTCGATCCTCAAACACCTATGGCGTCTGGGTTCTTGTCACTTGGAGGACCGCTGACCTTTTTCCGTGGCTCAGGAAGCGCACCAGGAGGTCTCTCGGTGCTGTAGCTGGGGGTTTAGCTGGCATGGGAGGTGGAACACCCCCCCTAGGGCTATCTCTTTGGCCTGTTTTGAGGGTAAGAGAGCTGTCAGTAGGTGTCATATAGAAACATAGAATGTGACGGCAGATAAGAACCATTCGGCCCATCTAGTCTGCCCAATTTTCTAAATACTTTCATTAGTCCCTGGCCTTATCTTATAGTTAGGATAGCCTTATGCCTATCCCACGCATGCTTAAACTCCTTTACTGTGTTAACCTCTACCACTTCAGCTGGAAGGCTATTCCATGTATCTACTACCCTCTCAGTAAAGTAATACTTCCTGATATTATTTTTAAACCTCTGCCCCTCTAATTTAAGACTATGTCCTCTTGTTGTGGTAGTTTTTCTTCTTTTAAATATGGTCTTCTCCTTTATTGTGTTGATTCCCATTATGTATTTAAATGTTTCTATTATGTCCCCCCTTTCTCGTCTTTCCTCCAAACTATACATGTTAAGATCCTTTAACCTTTCCTGGTAAGTTTTATCCTGCAATCCATGAACCAGTTTAGTAGCCCTTCTCTGAACTCTCTCTAAAGTATCAATATCCTTCTGAAGATATGGTCTCCAGTACTGCGTACAATACTCCAAGTGAGGTCTCACCAGTGTTCTGTACAATGGCTTGAGCACTTCCCTCTTTCTACTGCTAATACCTCTGCCTAAACAACCAAGGACGTAGGACTCTATCAAATATTATGTACTCTGCCCTTGGGTTTTTATGTCCAAGATGCATTATCTTGCACTTATCCACATTAAATGTCAGTTGCCACAACTCTGACCATTTTTCTAGTTTACCTAAATCATTTTCCATTTGGCTTATCCCTCCTGGAACATCAACCCTGTTACAAATCTTAGTATCATATGAGATGCGGCACCTCCCTCTCCGGTATCTCCTCACCGATGCCCCTGATTTTGAGGTTCAGGCTTCTCATCTGATCTTCCAGTTCTGCGAACTGCTGGGCTGTTGTGTGAGTCAGTTGTTGCAGATCTTGCACAGCTTTGCGTAGCCGTGCTGTGTCTTGTGTGTTTCAGCGGGAGTCTGCTTCCAGCATGTTCAGGCGGCCTGTCAGGCCTTGCAAATTTCCACGGATCTGGGCTTGTATGGTGAGTTGAAGCCCTGCTAGCAGAGTCTGGATAGGAGCTGTCAAGATGGGTGAGCGGTGTAGTTCAGCCTCGCTTGTGAAATCGTCCGATAGTTCGGAGTAGTTGTCAGCGTAGTCAGCCATGTTTGTGCCTGTGTTGTTGCAGGCCTGCCGCCATAGGTCCCCAATAGTGCCGCTCAGCCGGGGCTTGTCGGGCTTGGCCTTTTTAGTTTTTCGGCCCATCTCTTCACTCCTCGTTAGCGGTGCTGGTGGGTGCACTTTGTAACGGTTTTGTGACATGTTAGAGGGTTTAGTGTAGTTGTTTGGTCCGGAGCTTCGGTTGCATGCGGCCATTCAGGTCTGTGGCTTGGCTCCGCCCCCTTTTATATATATATATATATATATATATAGGTGAACGCTTGGCACTCACCTCCAAAAAAAATATAAACTTGTAACTCACATGCCTGGGTGCAAATTGTTGGCGTCAAATATATAAACAAAAATAAAAATAAAAATGCACTCGAAGTGCATTTTTATTTTTATTTTTGTATATATATATATATATATATATACATATTTTAAGGACACTTTAGGCGCTGCACCACTCCTTGTACGTTCATCTGTTTGTAGACGGAACGAGGGACCCCGGCTCCGGTGATTTAGCTGCCGTTTGGACTGTTCCAGTTATTGCTTAGAGCTCAATACCCTTTAGCTTTTTCATTAACTTTAAGCCAAACTATTTGAGACAGAATTAAAGAACACTCATTTAACAATATCAGGGGCAGGTAGAAATCCAGTCAGTATTATCCACAACACGGACCAAAAGATACAAGAATGGTAACTGGATTATCGTAATATACTGATTACTAATAAAAAAAGAAAAGACGTTGTAATGGATCTTTGAATCCATTCTGATACAATAAATGCTACAGTTTATAGTGGTTATGATGCAAGAACCCTGTTCTTACACTTTCCACTTTTAAATGTATGCTTTTTTATTCTTCTATAATCATACACTCTACCTCCACACCCCAGCTTTTGACTTTTTTTTACAGCAAATAAGATTTATGATGCTTAGAATGTCCCTTTAAGCATTTAACTCTAAATGTAATTTGAATTCCCTTTAGCAATGAACCAGCAGTGTGGCCTTCTGTACATGATACATGTAAATGTTTTCTTATAAAATTTGAACTCAACCTATTATTTAATATTTTATATCCAGGTGTCCTGTGGACTCTACTGTGCATCAATATTCGGATTTGGATCAAAGAGAGAAGCATTTCCGCATACACATGTTTAAGTTTGACGATTCCTCGGAGGTGTACCTGGCCTGTAATGTCATCATCTGTCATAATAGTACTTCTCCAAACCGCTGCTCTCAATTCTGTGCTAGTCACAGGCATAGACGAAGTGTACGCAATGACAATGTAAAGCTGGGTTCAGCCATGTTATCACAAGGGCCAATTACATTTAAACAAGGTATTTTGGATATCCCTGATTTCAATTTATACATACGTGCATTCCTTTTTGGGTAGAGATATAGCTGGTTAGTGCCCACATATTTACACACAGTGCATGTTGCCTGGTTGGAGTTATCTAGCTGACGACAAATAAACAACCACTCATAGTGTCTCCATAGTACAATACTAAACTTGACAAAATTACATAAAAAAATTTGTGTCTTGTGCACTGGAATGTAAGAAGCAGCAATTTTGTAGAAACTACAAGGTTTCCATTACAAAACTAAACACACATCTAGTGGCTGTCTTCCAGATAGCCAAGAGTGGTGCTTCCACAGGAACAACTTGGTCATGTGTCCAAAGCAGCTCATAGTAAAGCATTTAATAAAATGCTGTGTTATGAGAAGCATATGGATGTGCTATCCACACGTGTGCATGCTCAATGAGAAGCATTGGATTGGCCATCAAAGAGAAATGTTTGTACCCGTCAGTCTGTGTGATTAGGATACTTCTTAAAAATAACATAAAAGTTGCATAAATTGTTATTAGTAAGTCACCTAAAAGTAATTATTAGTAAGTCACCTAAAAGTGTCGCCCCTGTCCACACCCCCACTCACACCACTAACATGAAAGTATCCCTCTTTGTCCATTAGAAATGTTGGGATGTATTGATATACACTACATATACTACTGTGAGTTTTATTATTGAGAATATCTGTGATACTCACACTATTCATTACTATAAGTTTTATTACACACAACAAACTAGATGAGTTTTATTGCTGTGAAAGTCTGTGAAACTCATACACATGACATTTAAACAAGGTATTCTGGATATCCCTGATTTCAAAATACAGGGATATCCCTGATTTCAGATTTCAAAATACTGTAATATAACCGTGCGTGCACCTCTGTGATACATTCTTACATGATGCACATTACAGTAAGCTTTATTGTTGTGGTGCTTTCTGATACCAGCATACACACTGCACATTTCTCTAACTTTTACTGATGTGGGGCTCTGGGATACATTCACACATAACAAATTATTGTGGGATTTGCTGGTGTGGTGCTGTGATACACTCATACACAATGCCCTTAGCATTAGGTTTTATCGTTGTGAATATATGTAGTATACACAATTCCTATTAGGTTGAGTTTTATTGATATAGATCTTTCTTATACAGAAATACACACAGCACATAAGCCTTGATTTAATAAGCTTCCCAAATTATTCAACTCTGTTTATAAAACTTTCCGATTAATTTATCCGTAGAAGTCACCAATAAAGACTATGGGGATTTTGGTTCCAACAAATAATAATTTGGATAGTTTTTCTAACAGTATTGAATCATTTGGGAAACATATTAAATCAAGGCTGCAGTTTGCAAAGTCTTATTTCATGTCTAATTGAATGTACTTGCAGACATTTTTAAAAATGCCCCATTGTGACGCATATGTTTCCATTTGCAGGAGATAACATCCCACATGCAGAAATTCTCTCAGATAAACGGGATCTTTACACATTCCCTTCCACTGTGTTTATGGGCCTACTGTGCACTGTAGGGATATTGTCAGCTGCCATCCTAATACTTCAAAGACGTTACTACAAAGTACAAGAATATACTCTGCTGCGGAACAGCATCAACTGACGTGGATATTTTGATCAAAAAGCATCAGACACCTTTGAGATTATCGTCTCATTAAATTTCCTTGAGAAACTGATTTGTGGTTTTATTTTTAAGTATTATATTTTTCAAACTTTGGAATACTTATAAAGCTTATTTAAAGTTTTAGCTAGGCCATGGGTCCTCAAACTCCGGTGCCCCAGATGTTGCTGAACTACAACTCCCATGATTCTCTGGCTATCTATGTAATTCAAAGAATCATGGGAGTTGTAGTTCAGCAACATCTGGGGGGCCAGAGTTTGAGGACCCATTAGCTAGGCCCTATTAAACCCCACATATCTGTGCTTTGTGTGTTAAATAATGCTAGATTATTCACTCACCTGAGACAACCCCACTAGTTATTGCTTTACAGCCGTGATAGCTAACATTTATTACCTGCTAATGCAGACTGTGTTTCCTCAATCGCTGGATAAGCATCAATGGCTTGTAGGGGCATGTCTACTAAATATCTAACACTCGCGACTGGGCGTTCCTTTCTGCCTAATAGATAGAATAACCCCATCCCATGGTAATGAGGCCTGTGAAATAACAGGTGTGAACAATTTCTAGCTTTTACAGTCTGGACACTTAGTCCACAGTTAGTGGATAACTCAGTCAGACTTGAGGTGTTCACAAACTTGTGCCTTACTGTGCCCAGTGAGAAATTTTGATTCGGCCAAAGCAATTCTTTTCAGAATTTCATATTCTGAAAAGAATTGCTTCGGCCGACACAAGATATCTCACTGGGCACAAGTTTAATAATCAGAACTTAATAAATTATTCTCTCACAGGGTTAATGTGTGGTTTTGCAGAATTAAAAGTAATTTGAAAGTGAATTTTTAAATAATAGGCCAAAATAGCAAAACTAAAAATATGGCTGTCTTGGAGAACCTTTCCAATTCGGCTATTTCGGCCTAAAATGTGAAATTCTTTTTGAATTTACTTTAAATTTCTGTCAATACTTTAGTGAATAATCCTGCTAAGACATATCCTTTAGAGGAATACTGTCTAGGAAGGATAATACATTTTTCAGTTTATTCTCCTTCAAATATAATAGAGAAGAACATGTTTTAGTTATTTCATGAAGGAAATATTGGAACATTCAGCTAAACTTTACTGCCCTCTAATGGATCATCTGGGAATTCTTCAACAGACCCCAAATGTGTTTATAACAAAACATGTGCCACAAGGAAGCAATGCAATTAAACTCACTCATTGTAGAAGCAGATTTGCCAGCAATTTGATAGGTTAAATCAGGATAGGTTAACCTGAAGATATTAAAAAAAAAAAATGTAAGCTGACATTTGGAGTGTCAAGATTGAACACTACTCACACCAACACAGTCAGAGAGAGTGCAAAGTTCGCTGACTGACATATGTTCTCACAAATAGCTTGTTTGAGAAGGGCAGCCAAAGAGAGACTGCAAGAATCAGAGGCCAGAACAGGAAAAGTTTAAACTTTTGGCTAGCAGTTTAACAAGCCAATGTGCCATTGATGCTACTTTGTTCATGCCCCAGCAATTTATAAAACAATAATGCTATATTTACAATCTTGAAATGAAAATCCATGTATCAATTTATAATACGACTACAAGGAAGTCTATTTTTATGAACACCTTACCTACTTTCAACTTACTCCCCCAAAACATTTTTCTAAGGTGGGATTTCTCATTTGTGACACTGAATATAAATATAGGCTTCATAGGAGCACTCACTGTGCCCCCATTTATCCTATATTATAACTATATTAATGCAAGATCAATTTCTACCATGTTGATTGATAAGTGCCACAATCCAATGTGCGTTCAGTAGTGATGAGTTCAGTAGTCTTTTTTTCTCCAGTAATCTCTGAATAAATGTGTACACGGCTTCTTTATATTCTCCATTAGTGATGTCCCGAACGGTTCACCGCCGCGGACTCATCATTGAGTAAACTTTGACCCTGTACCTAACAGTCAGCAGACACATTCCAGCCAATCAGCAGCAGACCCTCCCTCCCAGACCCTCCCACCTCCTGGACAGCTCACTAAGAATGCAGCTTCACAATGAATGCTGTCCAGGAGGTGGGAGTGTCTGGGTAGGAGGGTCTGCTGCTGATTGGATGGAATGTGTCTGCTGACTGTGAGGTACAGGGTCAAAGTTTATTCAATGATGAGTCCGTGGCGAACCGTTCGGCGAACTGTTCGGGACATCACTATTCTCCATCACTAGCTATTTTTCAGCCGTTGTACATATGATCTAGCAAATAAATGTATTTGTATAGTTATGTGAGCCTTGCTATATTTGTTATTCTGCAATTAAAACACACATGGAATAGAACAAGTGGACTGAGAAATGAGATATTCTACTGTGATGGCATTACTTCTGCAAATTGCCATTTTCACAATAATAAAAATTGCATTTCATTCATCTACTCTATTCCAGAGACTTCTATATAAATACACTCAATTAGAATGAGTAGATTTACATCCCACCTGCTAAAATCATTGAGAATCCATTTCATTATTAGAATATAATTCTTAATATCTCTCCCGTCGGCCCTTCTGTGAGGTCCCTGCTAAAGCTACATGAATAGGTTTTTCAATGTCAGAATACAATCATATTGGATTGCAATAAATGCTTACAGGGCAATCCACTAAAGTAAAAAATCAAAGTATATTCAAGGTGAACTTCAAATTTAAGATCAAAATAGCCAAAACTAGAAGAGTCAGCTATGTTTTTATTTCGGCTGCTCTGGTGACTCACTGTAGTAAATAACCTTGCTACAGAATTATTGGTCCATAACCCTTCATTTCCAATAATGAGTATACACAGGAGTAAAAAGAATGCACCCAAACCCCTATACAGGCACACTCCTCACAATTTTAATACCATAATATTTAATAATAATACAAACTGAACGAATTACACATGTTATGGATATTCTAAATGCCTATTAAACAAGAATAAAAAATATGTTGTGTTATTATTAATGTGGTATTTTTTCAAGAAAAAAGACTTAAATATAAATGTATTCTGACGCTGACAATAATGTCAAATAACTTTATAGTGAAGGGATAAGCGGAAAATAATATATGGTAAAAAGAAATTTTAAAAAAATCATTGAAATCTTCTTAACTACAATAAACTGTAATTAGATTTATTTTTAAAACGGGCTAGTAGTTGGGAAGGGGAGAAAATCAGAATCCCTCTAGAAACTGGAATCCTTTGCAGACTAAAAGAAACAGATGTGCTTTATGGTAAGAGAGGAATGTAGAAGTGCTAAGAATATGTTTAGAAGAAGAATCGAGAAACAATGGACCTGGGATTTTTCTCCAGTTAACATGTCTGCTGGAAGGGGGCATGCTGGGTACTTTCCTCCAGGCAAATTGTAGTTGTCCTGACCTCAATGGTTAGCACACATTCCAAAATACTTGTTCACCTGCAATTAGAGCACACATTCCTCCAATAAAGCTTCTTTGAAATCTGCCATTCCAATCAATTGAAGCTGTGTGAGCTAGGGCCTGTGAGCACTACAAAATATTGAGAATACAACACATAGGTTGTACTTACCATCTGTCTCCTTGTATAATACAGCTTTCTGCTTGATCTATGCTCCCTTGGTATTTTTTTATTTTTTTTTATAGATACATACAGTGCATGCTAACAGCTATACGATAAGGATATTTCATGTTTTTTATTTAGTTATATTGAAATATTTAGCGTATGTATTTTGTTGTTAGTCTGTTTATTTTTATATCTTTGTAGCTTTACTATAAAGATTGGTTCCTGTCCTTAACCCCTTGTGACATGTCATGATTCCATATTATTCCAGAAGTTTGGTCCTTAAGGGGTTAAAAGGAAATTGGTAAAAATGCTCCTAATATTTTAAAAGCAACAGAACATTATGCTCTTGGATGAGACATAAGGGATCTGGCTAGTGGTGGGCCTAAATTCAGGTTTGGGGCATAAACTCTCCTTTTCCTCATCTTATGTGGACATTGGCTTGGGGGTAGTCATGATTGCATACAGAGTAACAAAACAGGATTAATCTTATTTGGTTTTGTTCTGTTTTGTTTATATTGAGAAAACCATAAAATAGTGAATGTAACTGACCGAATGACAGCTTAACCCCTTAAGGACACATGACGTGTGACATGTCATGATTCCCTTTTATTCCAGAAGTTTGGTCCTTAAGGGGCTAAAAGCATAAATGATAATGCCACTCGTGCTATATTCTTGTACCATGCATTCACAATAAAAATGGTTTTTGAAAAAAACAAAACAAAACAGGATTAATGTAAAGCATAAGAGATCTGTGAGGATAAGTGCTGTAGGACACAAAATACTCCCTGCTTGTTTTTGACTCCTGTTTTTTCCTGTCTGGTGAATGTGTGTGTGTTCCACTTTGATGTGAAGAATACTGATTACACAATGTAGAGTTTCAGCACCACAAGTAAAATGGCATACTGGAAGGGGTTCTGCTTATATTTATTTAAAGAGTGTATAGCCTGTACACTCTCCCAACCTGCTTTTGGTTATACCTTGAGTGTCTAGACCATTTTCTACTTTCCAAACTACAGAATGAGGCTTGGCCTACCTCAGGTTCGGCTTGCACCCTGGGGACCAGGCCCGGACTGGCCATCGGGCATACCGGGCAAATGCCCGGTGGGCCGCGGTGGCCATGGGCCGAGGCCGGCAGGGGAGATCACAGGATCTCCCCTGCCGGTCTATGCAGGGCCAGCGCTACCCGAGCGCCGGCCCCGCTGTGTTCCATGAAGGGCCCGTGGGGAGATCAAAGATCTCCCTCACCGGCCCACATGCGCTCCAACGCAGCCGCCGGCGGGGAGAGAGGGGGGGGGGAGCCAGCCGCCAGGAGAGAGGACCCGGCGGAGCTCTAACTTGCAGCTCCGCCGGGTTTCTCTCGCGAGATCCGGACCGTTGCTATGGCAACCGGCCGGGTCTCGTGAGAGTGAACTCTAGCCCCAAAGGGCTAGAGTTCACTAACCACGAGGACCACCAGGGATGGTTGGCAGCAGCACGA